CGCTTTATTTTTACATTTTTCGATCACAGTGCGATGTTTTCGTCGCACTGTGATGACGTCAAATGCGCGCTTTCGTCGAGCGCGATTTTGTACTCTGCCGTTTTGTGGTGGAACCCCTTTGTGGGGAGGGGGGGAGAGGCAATGTGGGTGAGTGGGTGGAAATCCCCTCTCAGTGCTTTTGCATTGAAGCGAGTTGTCCGACTCAACAGAACGTGGCTTTCTAACTTTGGTACGGATCTAGTCCTGAACGACAACGCCACTTTTGCTGAGTTGTGTTGAGTTTTGGAAGCTGGAGTTGCACTTTCAGGGTGAGAAGGGTGCTCCAGAACTTCTGGGCTCTTCTCCTTCCCTTGAAGCACCCAACAAACGACGCATCACATTTTGAAGGCAATCATTCCATGTTCTCCTCGGTGGGACCTCCTGGCCCTCTTGTGGAGCTCCCGTTCGTCTGTCTTTCTGCTTCTGCGCCCCACTCCGAGCTCAGAACGGAAAACCTCACTCCGATGGGTGATCTCCACCGTCGGGCAACCCTTCTGTCCCCATGTTTGTCGAGTCTCTGAACTTCGGATGAAGCAAGCGTTGGTTGAAGCGCCTGTTCTTTGAAGCGGCTGTCCCCCCCCCCCCAGCTCCTGCGGGCCACTGACCTCTCTCCTCGCCCCCTTCTCTCCGACCATCTCTAGTGCCTCATGACTTTGTTCTACGCGTTCTCCAACGACATCTTTTCGGTGATCAACTTCTTCAGCTTCTTCAACTGGCTCTGCGTGGCCCTAGCCATCATCGGCATGATGTGGCTCCGGTACAAGAAACCGGAACTCGAGAGGCCCATAAAGGTGAGCTTTGGCTGACGTTAACCTGGGAGCTTTTGCGAGGGATCCGCTTAAAGGACCGTTGGAGGGGGCATCTAGATTTCTCAGTCCTGGAGCCTAGTCCAGATCTGAGGATCCTTGAGACTGGTTGGATCTAGGCACGGCTCTGGTGGGTCCTGGGGCCGAAGGGCCCTTGCATTGTCCCTGCTTCTAACACGCTTGGCCTTCCTTGTGTTCTCCCAACGCAGGTTAATATACTGTTGCCCATTTTCTTCATCCTCGCGTGCAATTTCCTCATCGTCGTCTCCTTCTGGATGACCCCGAAAGAGTGTGCCATTGGCTTTGCCATCATCTTCAGCGGCGTCCCGGTGTACATGATCGGTGTCTGGTGGAGAAACAAACCCAAGTGGCTCCTGCAGAGCATCTGTGAGTACTTCTCTCAGTTCCCAGGAGCTGTCTTGGATGGAAGGGGCGTGGGAGGGACTCTTATAACTCAGGGATGGGGCAGCCCTTCCGCTGGGTTTAAACCTCTCTTTCGATGTCGCCAGAACGTGACAAAAGGCTATCTGAGCCATGGTGGCGCGGTGGTCAGAGTGCAGTACTGCAGGCTACTTCTGCTGACTGCCGGCTGCCTGCAATTTGGCAGTTCAAATCTCACCAGGCTCAAGGTGAGGTCGGTAAAATGAGGACCCGGTTTATAGCAATAGCAGTTAGACTTATATACCGCTTCATAGGGCTTTCAGCCCTCTCTAAGCAGTTTACAGAGTCAGCATATCGCCCCCACAATCTGG